CGCCCTTCTTTCTCCCATGATTGTTCTCTCCAAGGAGTGTATCTACCTCAGGTAAATGTTCAACTCATATGCCTGTCTTCATTATTCTTTAGTGTTACATAATATTCCATTGTGTATATAGGTACCGTAGTTTATCTCTTCGTCCATGGATGAGACCTTAGCTTGTTTCCATCTCTTTGCTATTGGGAATAGTGCTGTGTTGAACGTGGTATGTGTCTATCTGTTTGTGTTCCAGCTCTCAGTTCTTTAGGCTATGTTTCTAGCAGTGGAATTGCTGGATCAAATGGTATTTCTATTTCCAACTTTTAAAGGAAGCACCATACCATTTTCCACAGTGGTTTCCACCATTTTCCAGTCCCACCAGCAGTGTATGAGAGTTCCAGTCTCTCCACACCCCTGACAGCATTTATTGTTTTTTGACTTGTTGGACTTGCTGTTATTTCTGGGGTGAGATGATACATCGTTGTTTTGATTGTAACTCTCTAAATGAGTAATGATTGTGAGCATTTCTTCGAGGCTGTGACCTGTCAGAAGCAGTTTGCCAAGCCTGTCTTCTGAGGCACTTCTGGATGAGTTTGGGTTCTAACTGCCAAACTTTTGACTGGTAGTCAAGTGCTTCACCATTTGTGCCATATAACTAACCAAACTCACTGCCATCAAGTCAATTCTGAGTCATAGTGACTCCCATCGAGTTTCCAAGACTGTTAATCTTTACGGAAGCAGGCTGCTTCATCTTTCTTCCATGAAGCAGCTGGTGGGTTCGAACCATCAACCTTTTTGGTTAGCAGCCAAATGCCTTAACCATTGTACCCCCAGAGCTCCTTATGCCACATACTAAGATAAGTAATGCATTTGAATGGTGACTGGACACAGACCTGACTTATTTTTCTAAGTCTAGCACCATGAGTGGAGAGAACCCACCCTGAACCTCCATATCCCATTACATGTGTCTTTGTTAAGTAAGTAATAAGGACCCAGTATACAGTGAGGCTCAGCTCAGTAAGGGCACTGGGGCACAGAAGGCATGATCTTTTAAAAAGAGGCAGCATGGTACCAATAATGGGACTAGAAGAAGTATTAACTTAATCTTTTCTTCCATCTTTATTTCCTGTGGCAAATGAAGTCTGATAGGCTCTAGATGTGAGAACATGGAACGATATGGGAACCTTTAAATTGTTGTCTAGATTGTAAATGACAAAGT